TTCTCACAGTTCTGGAGAACAAAAGTCTGAGTTCAAGGCGTTGGCAGGTTTGGTTTCTTCTGAGGCATCTCTCCTTGGCTTGTAGTAGGCCACCTTCTTCCCACATCTTCACCTGGTCTTTCTTCTGTGTCTGTTATAAGGACACCAGTCCCATTGCATTAGGGCCCACCCCACTGACCTCATTTAACCTTAATCACCCCTTTTGCAGACCCTATCTCTAAATACTGTCACATTCTGAGGTATTAAGAATTACCATGTCAACATATTAATGGGGATGGGGAAATAATTCTGCCTATAACAAATGTTTATTTAAATCCTTTGCCCATTTTTTTTCAAATCGGGATATAACCAATTTGAGTTCTGATGTTGAATATGTAGTTTTTTGTTTTGGGGTTTTTTGGAGGGGTGAAGGAAGGAGTAGAATGAGAGAGCGGAAGGTTATTATTAGGTTTTTAATCTTAAAAATGTCTCATGTGGTCAGGTTGAAGCACATGTGCACTGTCCCAAAGGACATATGTCTCCATTCCTCTCTCTGTAGAGCTCCAATCATACTGTCTCACTAAAATCATGCAATAATATCCATCAGAGGTAAACAAGAATCATCGATGCCTAAATCATAGTAAATTGTCCTCAAATGCCTGCTAGACTGTAAATTACTTGACCACTAGGATCACTTCTTACTCAACTTTGAGTCTGGCTCAGTGTTTGTTGAGTAAGTCATAGTCTTAGGCATAAAAACATCTTCTCTTGCAGCAGGTATTATCATCCTATGCCATTGATGAGGAAATGGGGCTCAGAGGGATCACCTGGTTGGCTCAAGGTTACACAGTAAGTGGCAGAAGGAAAAGGTAGACCTGGTTCTAGCCAACTCTTCTTCCCACTTTATTATGACTTCTTGCTCCATAAAGGTAGAAATGAAATATGAATGTTCTGTAGACAAGGAGCATCCATTCCAGTGAGACTTCTGAGGGGGCTGAGCTCATCTCCAAGAGGCAAATATTATTTAGAAGGTTTCATTGTCTGTCTCCATGAAAATTTTGTCTCTCTTTCCTTACTCCTTAACTTTTCATTTCAGGCCTTGCTAAAGTCAAGGGAGATCAATTTCTGGGTAAGGCTCTGCCTACCAAAACCTTAACAAAGTAATGGTCCCTGAATGATGTTGTGCAATGCATTTTAAAAGTCTCCTGTGTTCGCCCTGGTCAATTTGGCTCAGCGGTTAGAGCATTGGCCCGCAGACCAGTGAGTCCCAGGTTAGGTTCCCGCTAACCTAAGGACACGTACCTCAGTTGCAGTTTGTCCCCGGCCCCAGTTGGAGTCGTGTCGGTGGCAACCAGTCGATGTGTCTCTCTCACATCGATGTTTCTCTCTCTCTTCCTCCCTATCTCCCTCCCACTCTATCTGAAGATGAATGCAAAAATGTCCTCAGGTGAGGATTAAAAAAGAAAAAAAAGTCTCCTGTCTTCAGTGGTGGGGAAAACAATTACGTAATCAGGACAAATTTCTCCATATTCCTTCAATTTTACACATTCACTGATTGGAATGCTCTTAGTACTGATAATACAAGCTAAAAATCATTGTCTAAACTATGGTTTTCTAATGTCAATCATAAAGGAATAGTGTTTTAATTTTTTGTGTACATATGAATTAAACAGAGGTTATATTCATAGATAAGAATGCAAGCCAATATTCTCCACTCATGGTCATTGTAATAAAGACATGGATTTTTTTTTTTTTTAATGAGATGGGGGCAAAGGTTATGAGATGAAAATTTCAATACACCAAAAATTGAAAACAGTTAATGATTATTCCTTTTGTAATTTTCAATCTACGACAGTGATAACAACATTCACAAATTATCCACACTGGTTTCAGCCCTCTGCTGGTGAGATGCATTTTCTGCGCACATCCAAGGAGGCCTGGGCTCTTCTTGGTAACAAAGAAGCCTTTCAGACAAGTGACAGCCCAGCTCCACGGGTGCTATCCGACAGCTGCTTCGCAGACAGAAGGCGCCTGACCTCTTTACTTCTCCCCTGGCGGTAACCAGGGCCACGGTGAAGCCAATCCTCTCCCTCTTGCCTCATTTAATGAAGTTTAATGGGCAATCTCTCCAATGGCTTCATTAACCATCGGTCACCAAAATTGTCAGACAAAGAAGTTTATCAAAGGAATTTTGCAAATACTCTATGTTCTTCCCTTACTGAGATATTTATCTTTTGAGAAAGAACATACAGAACCTTGTGGTAACTTACTTAATAATTAGAATTTGTTCATTCCATCTTTCTTCCCCCAAAGGAAAAAAAAAAAACTAATCACATGTACAGAATGTGTCAGTGAAGTCTTTGTTTCATAAAGGAGTCTCTGATCAAGGAAGTCCCAGGACACCTTTTTATGTCCATGTGTTTTATTTTGTGCTTTATGTTTGCAACATGTTAGTTGCTTCATGCCCAGTACAGCACATATGGAGCATGTTAGGAAAATACATTATACCCTGAGCACCAGAACAAACTCTTAGTAGCACGTTCTCAGCACTGAACAATCGGGGCCATATATTCTGAACAGTTTTATAGTCCAATGTGCACACAGCACAGTTTCTGTGGTTCTGGTGAGGGAACATTTGGGTGGATTCAGTAACCAGTGGGATGAGATTAACTTCTCTGATCAGGTTGTACAATTGCTCACAGTGCTAGTTTCAAGCCTGGCTTCTGTGTGTGCTTCTGAGAACAGGGATTCTGGGGCAATAGTACAAAATGGTTTAGGCCGGTCGGTCAGGCAATCTCTCTTGTTAATCATTTCCTCATCCACTTTCCCCTTCATCCCTGGTGTTCCGGAGATATTCAAGAACTGGCTCTCCAAAAACAGCAAATATTAGGTACATACATTATCAACTTTTAAATTTTGGTTTTAAAAGCTATGTATCACACAGTTTACCCATGATAATAAAATATACTATATTCTTCATTGTAAACTCCATATAGCCAATTGATTCTCACAGAATGCTTTCCATGATTTTTGTCAAACTCTGATATCTGTAGTCAACCCAGAGTTGCAACTGATAAGTGAAGTGTAGTTTTGGCAAGAAGTTGGAGATGTTTTTGTTTACATTAGTAAGTAAAGTGAGGGTGAAACAATGAAGATGCATGTCAAAGTTATTGATATAGCTGTAAATCACTTGCTGAATTTTCTAATGCTGGAAGAATATTCCCTCAGGCTTTTGTGCTATTCACAGTGTAATAGCTACAGACGTTACAGTCTTAAAGTTTAACCTGCATTATTAATATTTTCTCCACTCTTAAGTCTAGACAGTCATTAAACCAATACGTCAAGCTCTAATTTGTAGCAGTTTCCGCTTTCATGGCATCAAGACCCCCACCATGGCAGATTTCAAGCTCCCAATTTGACACTGACTGTGGTCTTGGAAAGAAGGGCTCAGTAGCATACCAATATATACTACATGTATCATATAAATACAATAAAAAACGTTAAGTTATCTCAAAAGGCCAGAGAAGAAAGAAGTAGGAAGTGATGAGTTTAATGTAACATTTAATTATAAACGTCTTCAACTTAATTTTTAATAATGACTGTGTTTAAGCATTCTCAAAAGTTTTGGAAATTTAACAGTCAGCTCTTGCAAGCTGGCAGGAGCCAGTCCTAGCATAGCGCTGCACACACTCCCAAAAGGTTAAGTTCTAACACCTGCATTTGGAGACGCTTCAGACAGCAGAAAACAGTATCTGACTAAGGGTGGCTAGAATCTACCTCCATGAGGGCAAGGGTCTCTATTTATGTCTTTAAAAATACCTGGAACAGCCCTGGCCGGTTTGGCTCAGCGGTTAGAGCGTCAGCCTGCGGTCCAAAGAGACCCGGGTTTGGTTCCCGCCAAGGGCACATACCTTGGTTGCAGTTTGTCCCCGGCCCTGGTTGGTCGTGCGGGTGGCAGCCACTCGAAGTGTCCCTTTCACATCGATGTTTCTCTCCCTCTCCTCTCTCTCTCTCTCTCTCTCCCCCCCCCTCTCCCTCCCACTCTATCTGAACAAAAAATGGAAAAATGTCCTTGGGTGAGGATAAAAAATAAATAAATAAAGAGCCTGGAACAGTGCTGAAACCATCAGTGATGCTCAGTAAGCTCGGCTGAATTGAACTTACTGCAATTTAGTTGGCATGTCACACATAGTGAGAAGTCTAGATGGAGATGGTTGATCCTTCCAGGGCACTGGGTCAACCACTCTGTGAAATGCTGGCCTTTTCCTAATGGCTGGCAAAGTAGCTGCCACAGCCCCGAACACCCCAGCCTCCCAGTACAATGTGGAAGGAGGGAGGCAGCCATGGCTATGAGAGACGCTTCCTCCAGTGCTTTCCTGTCTTCTCAAGTGCGTAGAGCATGATCAGCTCGAGGAGTCCGCGAAAGCCAGGGGTCCTCCTTTTCTAGACTGTGTTATGGGAGATGGGTAAAGAAAAAGAAGGCTGGGTGTTGTGATGACAGTCAGATCATTTCCCTGGTGGTCCACCAGGCCAATTCAATGCTAGAAATTGAGTAGTATAAACATTTATTTCACTTTAAGAATCTTCTTCTAAATGAACTGTAATCATTTCTCTAGAATTGTGCGTTTGTTTTTGTTTTGTTTACAAACAGTGTAAAGGGTTTTTATTCTTTGTAACATAGGCACAGTTATTTGAAGTTAATACATTTTTACTGAAGGAATTTCACATGTTCTGCGTCCTCCCACTGCTGTAGTTCCTCCTGAGTTTGACTCTTCCAGTTGTCATTTCAGTCAGTCCTATAACACAGGAATAGAGATGACCATGTGATCACGAACTATCTGCTCACCGGCAACCTAGAAGGACTAGCTAGACAAAGGACATCTGCAAGACTCCAGAGATCTAAGGCAGCTGATGTCAAATCTCACTGATTACCAATGGCTATTACAAAGTCACATATAGCTTGTGTTATATTTATATTGGACAGAGCTGATCTAGGCAGTGAAAATCAGTACAGGTTAATGAAATGTTCCCAGTAGGCTGCACATTACCAACAGAGCAGGAAAAAAAACCTAGTGGGAAAATGGTCTGTGGTCATGTCCACGACGAATGAGAAACTGCATTCTGAAAGCCTTGGTCAGGACCATTTACAACTGTGTTCTTATTGAGCTCCTTAAAGTTTTGTTTTAAAATAAAATCTATGGTAATACTTCCTGATTACTAAATAATCATCTTGAGAAGAATATCTAGAAAGATTGTGTTTACATACAATTAGACTATACTAGGTCTATGTCAGATTATCACAAATCAAATTCCTAGCATAATAAACATAACCACAAAGACAAAGAGCCTTTGTAAAAATTCCCAGAGCATAGAACATTCAGATAAAATACAGTGGCTACAATAAAATCTCATAGGAAATGTGCATTGTTCTTAGGAGTATATGTGTTCCTGGGTTTTGATTCACATTAATATGCACACTGAAAACCATTCACGCACAAAAACGGTACTCAGGCAACCCTCGAATATTTTGATACTTGATCCTCAGAGAGCCCAAGGAAATAAACGCAGCTGACTTTGGGCTCCCAAAGCTTTCTGCACAGATTCTAGTCACTGAAGAAGATTCTGTCCCATCTGTCACTGTCCAGACCCTTCTGTGACAGACAGAATCCCCAGTTCAGGAAAAGGCAGCAAGTAAGTGTCAGAAGGAACAGTGTCTGGGGCTGAATCTTTTCAGACTCAGAAAAGAATAATAGGACTTTATTTTTTTATCCTCACCCAAGGACATGTTTCCATTTTTTGTTCAGGTAGAGTGGGAGGGAGAGAGAGGAACAGAGAGACCAGGGCCGGGGAAAAACTGCAACCGAGGTACATGCCCTTAGCGGGAACCGAACCCGGGTCTCTCAGGATCGCAGGCCGACGCTCTAACCGCTGAGCCAAAGCGGCCAGGGCGAATAATAGGACTTTAAACTTCAACAGACCCTAAAGATTATCTTCTTCACTAATGTTCAAAGCTATGGTCTCCATGGTCAGTTTATTCTGGGAAACTGTTTCATACAGATGAAAGAAATTAGGGTGTTTTGTTGTTGGTGTTGTTTATTATAATCTTCTCAGGGAACTTTGTGTACTGTAAAATCTCAAAACAAAAAGAACACAACTATAATACCTAGCTCTTCTAAACACAATGCAACCACAGAACACCTGACCCTTTTGTTTTGAAATCGAACACTTTTTAAAATTTTATCTTTAATTATGGTAAAATACATATAACATAAAATTTATCATTTTAACCATTTATAAATGTCAAGCTCAGTAGTGTCAAGTATATTCCCATGTTGAGCAACCCATCTCTAGAACATTTTCATCTGACAGAACTGGTCCGGCCGGTGTGGCTCAGTGGTCGAGCGTCAAGAGGTCACTGGTTTGATTCCTGGTCAGGGCATATGCCCAGGTTGTGGGCCTGATCCCCAGTGGGGGGCATGCAGGAGGCAACCAGTTCATTGATGTTTCTATCTCTCTCTCCCTCTCTCACTCTCCCTTCCTATCTCTCTAGAAAATCAATAAAGAAAAAAAAATTTTTTTTTAAAAAAAGAACCAAAACTCTATCCATTGATCAAAAAATGCCTCATTTTCGCCCTGGCTGGTTTGGCTCAGTGGTTAGAGTGATGACCCACAGACCAAAATGTTGCAAGTTCAATTCCGATCAAGGGCGTGTACCACGGTTGCAGTTCTATTGGCCCTGGTTGGCAGCCAATCAGTGTATTTCTCTCATATCGATGTTTCTCTCTCTCTCCCTTTTACTCCCTCTCTCCCACTCTATCTGAAAATCAATGGAAAAATATCCTCGGGTGAGGATTGAAAAAAAAAAAGCCCCATTTCCCCTCCCCCAGTCCCCTAGTAACCACATTCTACTTTCTGTGTCTATGAATGTGACTGTTCTAGGTACCTCATAGAAGTGGAAGCACACAATATTTGTCTTTTTGTGACTGGCTTATTTCACTTTGTATAATGCCACCAAGGTTTATCCATGTGCCCAAATGGCCTTTCTTTTAAGGCTGAATAATATTCCATTGCATGTATACAGCACATTCTCTTTATTCATTCATCTGTCAGTAGACATGTGGGCAGCTTCCACCTCTTGGTTCTGATGAATAATGCTACTGTGAACATGAGTACAAATATCTGAGACCCTGCTTTTAATCCTTTGAGACATATGTCTAGAAGTAGAAATTCTGGATCAGATGGTAATTCTATTTTTCATTTTTTGAGGAATTGTCCTACTGTTTCCATAACAGCTACACCACTTTACATTCCCATTTTACTTTCCCATCAACAACGTGCAAGGGTAGAAACTCTTTTTAAAGAACACTTACCATGGAACAGAGTTTGAAACACAGTCTAGTCCAAATCCATCATTTTAAAAATGAAGAAATGGAAGCCTAGGAAGTAAAGGACTTGTGCAACATGGTGAGTCAGCCCAGGGCTCTGCAGGGAACATGGACCACTTTGTTGAAATTATGGAGAGGGTTTATGTTTTTCATTATTATTATTATTATTATTATTTTAATCCTCACCCGAGGACATTTTTCCATTTTTTGTTCAGATAGAGTGGGAGGGAGGGAGAGGAAGAGAGAAACATTGACGTGAAAGGGAGACGTTGAGTGGCTGCCACCCGCACGACCCATCCAGGGCCGGGAACAAACTGCAACCGAGGTACGTGCCCTTAGAAGGAACTGAACCCGGGTCTCTCTGGACTGCAGGCCGACGCTCTGACCGCTGTGCCAAACTGACCAGGGCTGGACAGGGTTTAATGTAGGAATTATTTACAGAGGTGTGGGTGGCGTTAAGGGAACCCACAAGAGATAGGAAGAAACTAGGAAGAACAGTGAGAAGCGGTTACCACCCCTGAAGAGGCAGAGAGGAAATGATGTGTCTCAGCCCACTAAACTTAGCTCCATGAGGGTGGACCCCAGCAGGAGCTGTACTCATAGAGGACACGGTCACCCCAGAGCTGAGACACAGATGGAACAGGGAAAGAATACCCAACTGCTTTCTCCTTCAGCCATTGACCTCCTGCTAGTTCCTCCCATTGGCCAACCCCATACAGAAGCCAGATGGCAGGAGGACATATATAGGGGTCAGTCCCAGGGGCAGGAGGAGAGCAGAGAAGGGGAGGAAGAAAGGGGGAAAAGGAGAACTGTGATCGAGTAGAAAATGCATGATGTCTGACACAGAGGGTGTCGTAGGTGGTTTTCTTTTCTGTTTACTGTAGAAAATTAAAAAATGTTCAGAACATTTGGGAAAAGCAAAAAAAAAAAAAAATTTAATACCAATAATCTCACCACCCATAGATATCTAAGTTAGCATTTTTGTTCCAAGTGTATAATGTGTGGCAAGATAATTTGACATATTGAGTTGGGTTTGTTTTCACTGCTGTGCATCAATAGCTCCAGAATGTCTCCCCGGGAGGAACATGGCGGCTGAACCAGCGCTGGGAACAGACCTTCACGTCACACTTGCATACAGCAAACTGGTTTTAATCAGATTGTATGTTTATTTGGGGGCTTTTCTGGGGCTGTTGACAGCAGCTTTGTCTTTTTTCCGATGTTCTCAAGGCATTTCTGGTATCTGCAGAGGCTCTCATTGTTTTACTTAGATGGCATGTGTATTCGGCGTGGGTTTCAGGAGGAAGATGATGATTTATGTGGGAGGCAAAGGCTCCCCTACTCTTAACAGTTCTGTGGAAGAGCTAATACAGGAGTTCCTGGGGATGGAGAGACTATCTCACATGTAGAAGGAAGATGCATTGCTGTGGCCAAAGGATGGTCTCTGCCAGATTGTGTTTTCCAGACACTGCCGTGGTGGTGTGTCCTATTCCATGTGTTCTTTGTTCCCTGAGCACTCCTCCCATGGTGGAAGAAGAGTCTCTGCCCCTCCTGTTGAACCTGGGTAGCTCTTTGACTGCCTTCACCAGTACAGTAACTGGAAGTGACTCTTCGTGATTTCCAAAGCTAGATTTTTTTTTTTTTATCCTCATCTAAGGACATTCCTTTACTGATTTTAGAGAAAGAGGGAGAGAAACATCAATGTGAAAGTGAAATATCCATCTGTTGCCTCCCACATATAACCCAAGGGATCAAACCCACAACCTTGGTATGTGCCCTGATCAGGAATCAAACTCATGAGCTTTCAATGTACAGGACAATGATCCAACCAACTGAGCTACACTGGCCAGGGCCCAGGGCTAGATCTTAACAATGCCACGCACTCAGTCCTTAGCCTTGGATTGCCCCTTCTCCTTCCAGTCTTCCCAGCTGAGGATCTAGACATCACAGAGCAAATACAAGCCATCCCTATTTTTCCCAGTGCAAATTCCTGATTCACAGAATCTATGAATATGATAGAATGCTTATTTTATACCATTGGTTTTTGTGGTTTATTACAAGACATTAGTAACTAGAACAAATAAGAATGAAAGCTATGTGTTTTATTGACTGGACTCTTTCTTGTCCATGCCAAGAGAGCCTCTGTGTTTCCTTTCCTTAGAAGTAGACTTCCCTGGAACCTTACCACTCTTCTGCAGGTTACATCCTGAGGATGGAAAGGAGGAAATAGGTGCTTAGAAAATGGTGGGGAGGGGTAGAAGAAATGGGGGCAAAAAACACACAAAAATAGGGAAAGTCCCCTAAACTAAAAAACTAGGATGGGGCAGAGACAGGAACTTACAACCCACCACCAAGTCCCTCACAATGGCCAAGGATGGTGGCTAAGCCTCAGGGAATGGTAGTTTCTGTGCATAGAGAGACTGGACCCCAGGCACAGAGCAGAGCACTGGCAAAGACTTCTATATCCTTGGTGATACAGAAGTAGCAGAATAAGCAATGGGCCTTGACAATGGGCTTCTCAGGGCTAACCAGGGCTGACCAAAGATCAGCTCCCAGGATAACTATCTCTACATTAGCCCCAAAATCTTGCTATATAATGAGATTCCCCAAATAACTGAATGAACTTTTTGCCAACCAGATGAGATGGTGGCTCAGAGTTTAATTGAATTTGATATTTTTAAAAAATAAGTGTTCCATGACTTATTCCAAATCCCTTCTATTTGAAATGCATAGAAATTAGATAGACAAAGTAAACAAATGC